GAAGAGAAGAAGAGGGAGGTGAGGTCGTGAAGGACGGCAGCCGGAGAGGGGGAGAGAGTGAACAAGAAAGCTAATTCACCATGTATCTTCACAAAACAAACAGCTGAGATTTTTCAATTTGGGGTTTCCTTTTCTTGGATTTCAGAAGGGGTGGGGGATTTATAGAGTTGGATTTTGGCTGGGAAGGGATTGGAATTAATTACTGGTAGGGGATTCACTACTGCAAGGAGATAAGAATGGCAATGGACGAGAGAGGATAGACTTCTGGAGGCGATGAGCGATTGCTTGGCGGCGGTGGGTGGAGATGGAGGGTTGGGTCACGATGTTAAAGGGTTGGTTTATGGGTTGGGTTGGGGAAAATGAGGTGGTGGGTTGAGTGACGTGGCAGGACGAATTTGGTGATGTGGCGGGTTAAAATTGGGTGAGTCAGCAGTTCTATTGCCACGTCAGCAATTGACTGATAGTGTTAACGAAGACTAACGAAGAGTGACTGAACGTGGATCGTTTTACTAATTCGAGTGATCACTAATGGATTTAAATATTTTGAGTGACTAAACATGAACGTTTTTAGAAAACTCAGTGACCAAACTTGCAATTAACCCTACAAATCACCATTGTCAAAATCAATAAACTACTACTGCGGTATATCCTCCCATTATATTATGGAGGTTCTCTTACAGAAGGTACTCAATTCTAAAATTCGAGGCTTCTGAGTAATTTTAGGAAGGATATTTTTGTCTTTTCAAATAAAATAATAATAAAAGAAATTTATATCTTTTTGTCTTACAAAAAAGAAATAAGCAACGTGGTACAAACGTTTCTACTGCAAGGGGTTTCCCCGTTAATTATTAATGAAAGCATCATTATTAATACAATTATAATGAGTTTCAACCAAAAACAAATATTATCATAATAGTGGCAGAATAGGATTAGGATTGCATGGGATCAATTCCATATATTAGAGAGATGATTTATAATTGATCATATCTCATGTGTTGTTAATTGGAATTCAATTTTTTCTATATAGAAAAATCCAATTGATGACATCCATTTTGATATATTTTTTGTGAAAAATAATATTGTTCCAAAAGAATTGACCCTATGGATAATTCATCAAGTTATTTATTTTTAATCTACAAGTGATCAAGTTTTGTGTTAGCTGCTGAGAATGCTTAATTTATTAATTTTTGTAGAGTATTTCAATTTGAGATAGACTAATTAGAATAAAGAGTGATTCAGTAAAATATTTTTATAACTCAAATAAAGAGTGTATATCTTTCTACTAACATATGGAGTTTTTTTGCTCTATTAATACGACACAATGGATGTGCATGATATTTGTTGTTGTGAGTAATATTAACTCAAAAGTTATGTGTCATGCATAGCATATGTTTACTCAATTATTACTAACAGAAAGGGGACTTAGTATACAAATTTGTTTTCTGATTCTTACTTTATACTTGGTATATTATATGACAAAACAATGCTCCAGTTCTTCACATAGCCAATGAAAAAGTATGGGATTTTGACGCATAATCTCTTTTAATTACAGCTGGCACAGATCTGAAGGGCTACTGTTAAAGTTTTTTTAATCTTCTAAAAATTCAACGGATTATATCTCATTCGTTTGAACTATGATTTTAAAATAAATTGTGTAATAATATTGATTGAAACATGTTAAAGAACAGTTGAATATGACCACTAGGATGAGTACTTATATAAGAATCATACAACAATATAAAAACACAAGTAACAATCTATGTTTAGTATTCAGATCGTTTTAACTTCAAAAAAATTTATTCATAAAATAAATTATACCCACATAACATAATTTTTTTTTACCAAATAGTGTATCTCAATTGTTTTCGTTTTATAGATTCAACAACCAACTCCAATTTGTGGACAAATTTTTAAATATGACTTTATTGTTCTCGACTCGAGGGCACTAGGTTTTTTGGAACGCCTACTCGGAAACTATTCGAAGATAGTGACAGATGAGATGACCTTTACCTCTTCATCCCCCTACAAACTGTTGAAGTTGGATTTTCACATAAAGCTCACTTACTACAACATCGTGAACATTCATACAAGGGAGTACACTATTTTGAAGATAATGAGGGATGTAGAAGAGCAAGCTTAGATGGAGTTTAGGACATGGAGTCATAGACGAGGTATATTGAACTTTTTTTTTTTACGGGTAACCTGTAATATTATAAATCAAACTGGAACGGTTACATCATCCAACCGTAGTTGGTCAACAAGGAACACATGCGGCCTATCTAACCAAACCTCACGACAATTCCAACGTGTCTCGCTATGTGACATAATGTGTGCTGCATTATTCGCTAGCCTCCTAACATGACGTATATGCATCACGTCCGACCCGTTATCCCTAAGAAAGCTCACATTCCGACGACATATCAGTCCCACCTCAGTATGGATCGTGTCCGTTGTATGGAACTTCTCGATCAAAGATAAGCAGTAGACTTCAAGCTCCGGCCGCGGTAGTTCCAGCTGGCACGCGAGCTAGGCTCCCATCTCCGACGCGAGAGCCTCAGCCATCTCGACTCCGATCGCCCCACGCACCTTCTTAGCCGCTGCTGCTACAAATTGACCCAGGTGGTTGCGCATGACAACTCCCAAGCCCACCCCCTCATTTGCGATCAACCCAGCATCTAAGTTTATTTTAATCCAACCTTCCCGCGGTCTCCTCCATTTCTCCTCCATTTGAACACTATCCGCCTCAGGGTTGCTGCGCTGGTTTCGCTGATATTCGTCAAGTAGAGTCAAGGCACGAGTTATGATCTCATCCTCCGGCCACTTCTGCCCATTAAATAACTGCGCATTCCGTTCCTTCCATAGAGCCCATAAGATGGTTGCCCATTTCTCCATTGTCTCGCGATCTTGGTCCTTTATGGTTTTTGCCACCCACTCCATACAGCTAGCAATTCCAGTTACGCCGAATAGATGTGCCCATGGCGACTTCCTCCATATCCGACTTCCACAGCTGCATTCCAAGAACAGGTGCCGCTGCGTTTCCTTCTGGTTACAGAAGGGGCAGGTGTCACTCCAACGTTCACTTTTGGCGGCAACCTTAATCCCGGTCGGTAGCACTTCCCGGGTGAACTTCCACATGAAGTGGCGGACCTTAGGTGGGACATTCAGGCTCCAAATTGTCTTCCACAGCGCTGGGTCCCCACTGACAGCAATGTTCTCCTCCCTCTTAAAGTCTGCAAGCCATTGTCTGTATCCCTCCTTAACAATAAAACTTCCCGAGTCACTGTGCTTCCACACCAGCCTATCTTAATCTTCACAGCCTCGCAAAGGAATTGCTAATTTGCTATGATAGTCTGAGCTATGGACGTTGGAAGGAAACTATGGATCAAAGTTTGATTCCACTCCTCTGTTTATGGGTCAATGAGCTCACGGACTACTGAGTCCACAGGCAGCCCCCTTGGTGCCGACGTAACATAGGATATTGCCTCATTTGGGAGCCAATTATCTCCCTAGATTCGTACTTGTGCTCCATTCCCCACACGCCATCGTAAGCCTATACATAAAAACTCATGGGAGCTCATTAAGCTCCTCCAGACAAAGCTAGGTCGGCTGCCCACCCTCGCCTCCAAGATGGAGGTACGTTTGTGGTACTTGGCTTTAAGTACCTGCGCCACCAAGGAATCTTGTCGTTGGGCAGTGGACCAAAGCTGTTTCGCAAGGAGTACAGTGTTGAAGCCGCGAAGATCGTGAAACCCCAGGCCTCCGTCTTCCTTCAGCGTTACAAGCTCCTCTCTTCGCAACCAATGTGCTCGTCTCTCCGTACCCCTTTGTCCGCAGAAGAAATTGGTGATGAGGTTGTGAAATTCATCGATAATCCCCTCCGGTATTCTGAACACTGACATGGCATACATCAACTGCGCCTGGGCCACAGATTTGATAAGGACCTCCCAGGCTGCCACCGACATGGTGCGCTCTTTCCACCCTTTCAGCTTTTGACGTACCCGCTCCTTGAGTCCCGCAAACACCTCTTTTTTCGATCAGCCTACCTCAGTAGTCAGGCCAAGATACTTGTAATGCTTTTCCACGATCTTCATGCCCAGCGTACCACCTACTGTGAGTTTGTTATGTGACTTGACATTGATTGAGAAGGAGACCTCCAATTTTTGGAAGTTCACTAACTGACAGGACTCCTTCTCATAATCACGAAGGGTCTCCTTCAACTCCAAGCATTCCCTTTGCGTTTCCCTAGCAAAAAAGACACAATCGTCAGCGAAAAACAGGTGGGTAATCACCGGGGATCCTCGAGTCACCTGCAGCCCATGCAGCCTCTGCTCTGATACCGCTTTGGCTGTATAGGCTGATAACCCTTCCGCACAAAGCAGGAATAGGTAAGGTGACAGCGGATTGCCCTGCCGAATCCCTCTACTAGGTGCAAAGGGTTCGGATCTGTGTCCATTGACGAGCACTAAATACGTCACTGAGGTTACCCCCATCATAACCAGTCCAATCCATCGGTCAGCAAACCCCATTCGCCTCATCACACCCTCCAAAAAGTGTCATTCCACCCTATCATACGCTTTTTCCATATTGATTTTCGCTGCAAAATGTCCAACCTTCCTCTTCTGACTTCGTTTCATCGTGTGGAAGCACTCAAAAGCCGTCATGACATTGTCAGTTATGAGTCGCCCAGGTATAAACGCACTCTGCGATGGAGAAATAATCTTGTCTAAGAATGGTTTGAGTCGGTTGGCCAGGATCTTTGACACCAACTTATATAGGACATTACACAAGCTAATGGGTCTGTACTCCGCAGGAGTGGATGGCTGCCTCGTCTTTGGGATCAGGGTGATAAGCGTGTGGTTTAGATCCCCCGGGATAACACCCGTCTCCAAAATCTGTAGAATAGCCTCAACCACGTCATCACCAATAATGCTCCAGTACTTCCTAAAAAATAAAACCTATAGTCCATCTGCCCCTGGAGCTTTCCTGGCTCTCATCTGTTTCAAGGCACCCCAGATTTCTTCTCGTTGAAATGGCCGCAAGAGCTCGTCGTTATCCGACTGGTTAATCCGCCTCTCGATGGACTCCAGCACTGGCCAAGAATCAGGAGCCTTGCTCGCAGTGAAGAGGGTCATGAAGTGTTCGACCATGCACGTAGTAACTGCATCTTGTCCCACAAACCACCTGCCCGCCGTATTTCTGATTTTTTTGATTGTGTTTCTCTTCCGTCGGGCTGTAGCTTTCTTGTGGAAAAAAGGGGTGTTCTTGTCACCTTCTTTCAACTAGTCCACTCTGGATTAGGGATGGCAATCAAACCCATGGCCGCGGGTATCCGACCGCCCCCGACCCAGTCAACGCGGGGAATCCCCGTTTTGACCGGGTATGGGGCGGGTATGGGTAAAACCCGCAAAAAGTTTGATGGGTATGGGGCGGGTATGGTTTTAGCCTCCCCTGCCCCATACCCATCCCCATACCCGCCCCACTAAGATAATTTCTTCATATATAAAAAAAATATGTGCATCAAATTATAATCTATCAATGATGATGAGGATAAATTGAGAAAATAAATAGTAGAAATGCAATTGAGTGACCACCTTAATCAAAATCTAATTCATTTCTCTCAATTCTCATTTCACTCTTTCACTTTCCCCCTTGTCAACAAGATTATGTTAGTTAATTATTATTTAGTAGATGTATTAGAGTTAGAACATAATAATTTGAAAAATATTATACTCTATATTATGTATTAATGGATATTTTAGGATTATAATCTTTGAACCATATTAAAAAAATGACCGTGTTTTGTTGACTTCATGATATAATATGTTCGTTTAGATTTATAATTAGAACTTTTCCTGTAAGTTTTAACTCTAATACATATGTTGGATGTACGGGTATGAGTATTACCCATGGGTACCCGAAACCCATGGGTATGGGGATGGGTTTTCAAAACATTCCCCGCATGGGTATGGGGCGGGTATGGGTTTGGGTATTTGAAGATGGGTATGGGGATGGTTTAAGCAAACCCGCCCCAAACCCGCCCCATTGCCATCCCTACTCTGGATCGTTGCTTCCAATAATTTTCCTCACTATCCAGGATGTCATCCATTTCACCATCCAACTTGCTAATCTGCTCAAGGACTTCCTCAGTTTTGACCTGCCGTTCGAGGGCGCGGAGACCTCGTCGGACCCGCTCCTTCTGCTTGTTAAAGTTCGGGAACGTTTCGCGGCTCCAGCCTTCCAAGTCAACTCGGCATTGGGTAAATCAAGTAAGCACATCAGTCGGACCTATCTTATGCCAGGCCTCCTCCACAACTTTCAGACAATCTTTGTGTTTGGTCGAAGGTGGCTGAAAGCGAAAGGACCATCCCCATTTCAGTTCACCATCATCATCACCTCGTGTTTCGCATATTACCAGCCTGTGATCCGAGCTCGCCCTGTCCCCATGAATGACTCGACAATTAGGAAATAATTGTCTCCATCCTTCATTTGCCGTGAATCTATCCAGTCGTTCTTCGATGAACCCGCCTCTATTTCTCCTGTTCTCCCACGTAAACGGGTACCCTTGGAAACCCAAATCCTGCAGCCTGTATCTGTGAGGCAATCTCCAAAACTACTCATTTCCATCTCATGGGCCTGTCTCCCCCCTGATTTCTCCTCTGTCGAAAGCACCTGGTTGAAGTCTCCTCCATATAGACATGGACCGTTCCATTGCCCTCCAAGTGAGCGTAGGTCCCACGTCCGCCACTTAACGCTATTCTCCGGCCAGCCATATACGCCAGTAAATCTCCATTGCCCTTCCTTTTCTTCATCAATAGCTACGTCGTTGAAGTGGAGATCATGATCCATCCGTGTAATGGTGACCTCCTACGTCCACCATAAGCACACACCACCTGCTCGAAATTGTTGCTGGCCAACACACTCCATTCTTGAAACCACACGTCTCTCGTAAAACTTCGTTCTCAACCACTGTTTGTTTAGTTCCATGAGGAAGACCACATGGGGGGATGATCTACGCAAAAGGGTTTTTAGAGCAGATACTGACCGCGTATTCCCCAACCCGCGGCAGTTATAGCTGATTAGCTTCATCTATTCTTCAAAGGGGATAGGCTCCCCGTGCCTTCATCCATTTTCCCATTCCCGTTCTTTGTCCCTTTACCATGGCCTGCATTTTTGGTCGGCGCCACCCCCAGCTGTACAGGGTTGCCGGATTTCTTTGTCACCTCGTTTTCCATACTGACCGATTCCGTCTGCTTGATCTTCCCACTCCGCACAGTTGTTTGTTTCTTCTGGTCACCCGACCCCTTCTCCTATATCTTGTGTCCATGCTTCGCTGAGCTTCCACCCTTATTACTACTAGTTTGGGTTTTTGTCTGTTGCATGGGATGGTTATCACCATTGTTATTCTTATTTACTTCGTTCCCCAGTCCATTTCTTTTTTCTTGTGTACGTATCTCACCTTCTCCTTGATTGTCACTCTTCGGCTGCCTATCATTATCATTCACCTGGTGATCCTCCATGATCACACTCTCTTCGTTCTTGTCCTTTTCAGCTAACCCCTCGAAGCATTTTTTGTGTAGGTACCCTCCGTCTTTCCTCCCCATCCCTCCTTCCTTCCCTGGTATCGATTGCGCGGCTTGACCTTCATCCATTCCCCATAGGTTCGCCCCTGGGAGGGGTTGACGTCCACACTCGTTCCTTCTTCTTTATTTTCCTCTATCTCCATCGCCAGGCCCGTTGGAACACAATGGCATTTACCAGCTTTCTTCCCATATGTGCCACAGTCTGTACATAGAACATCTAGTCCCTCGTATTGGACCAAGTACGTCACCCCTTCGATTTTAAACTTTGATATAAATGGCTGGGTGAGATCTACTTCAATGCAGACCCGAGCATATTTTCCCCGAGCTCCGAGTTCTGTTGCACGATCCACCCGAACAGGTTTATCCAACCATTCCCCAATCTTCATAACCGCTTCCTTGTTGATGAATTCGATGGGTAACTCTGGTAGTTGTGCCCAAACCATTGTCGATGTCACCTCTGTCTTCCATGGATTAAAGCCTTTGAACCACTGGTGAACCGTCAGGTATGTTTCGCCCAAAATCCAGGGACCACCCATCGTCGCCCCTTCATAATCCTTGTGGCTTCGAAAGCGAACCAGGAAACAACCATTATTCATGTCCGAGATCTGTATCTCACCATTCCGTGCCCATAGGAAATTAAGACGCCGTGCTAAAGGAATATACGACACCCGTCGCCCTAGTCCTTTGACCACCAACGCAGATCGCCATTCCCTTCTCCATCGTATTTTCTCGGCCGTCGTGAAAGGAATCGTTGGACAGGTTGGGTCTTCTTCTGCACCGTCTACTTCATCATCCATCTCCTTTTCTCTAAGTGCCACATCTTCCGAGTCAGACTCGGCTATGTACCAAGTATCCTGCTTCACGGCTTCGCTAAAGCTTTTACCCTTCCATCCCTGCCCATCTGGATGAATGGTGCGTTCCTCCTTATCAGTTTCCATCTCCGTTTCAGTTTCAGCGTCGTCTCCCGTCATCGTATCATCCAAGTTCAGAGCTCGCACCCTTTTCTTCGGCTAGACCGTTTCCTTAGCACTCTTGCCGTCCGGGGTCGACGACCCCTCAGAAGGGCGTCGTACTCCGCTTGTGATGTCTGATGGTTTTCCCGCAACTGACGACGCCGTTGTCGGCGACTGCGCCGTCATCGATAACCACAAACCCTAGCACACGTACGAAAAAATCCTCGACTCTGAAAAGTTCGGAGCAAAAGATTGTGGTATATTGAACTTCTTGAAAATGGTATTTCACACTTCGAAATATTTTACCATGAAATTTTTGCTTTCAATGAGCTGCAAGAGACAAAGAAAGAGTACGCTAATGGTAAAGATTTAGTGATGGAGATAATAGTGTTGTTGAGAATAATGAAGAGATTGTTGTTGGTGTTTTTTTAATTCAACGATGAGAGAGAAAAGAGAATCATTGATAATATTTATTATTTTGATGAGGTGCAAGCATGAAAATGATGTTTCAAATATCCTAGAATTTCACCACAAAAAGTTTGGGTTTCAGTGAAATAAAGAAGCCACATAGGTAAAATTATGATTTTGATGGACGAGGAATCACAAAGAAGTCTAAAAGAATATTTGTATTAGTTTAGGACAACAAAGAGTAAACTAAATACCGTTTCGATTAACTTTTTTAGGAATTGGTTTCCTTGCATGGATTGTGTTTTCACCTTTGATAAGGACTTATGTCCATGAATAATCAATATGTCAGAAAACTTATGATGCAAGTTCTTTTTTATATTTTTAATAATTTGGTAATTTGGATTCGATCATGATACCATATAAAACGTAACTTGATTAGAACAATTACTATTATTGTTTTCACCAAAAATATTTTATTGTTTATATTTTTTATTTAATTCATCCGGCCAACGGGCGGACCCAAATCTTGTCTATCATAAAGAAGAGCGAGAGCCGAGAGCCGAAAAAAAGAGTGGCGATTGAGAGAAAGAGAGGTTAATGTAGTCAAATTCTAATCATCCCTAAAATTCTGCATCTCCACATGTCAATCTCTGTAAATCCGCTTTTTAACCCCACGAAATAAATTCAGCATTAAATTTTCGTTTCAAAATTTTGCGTCTTCTTTTACAACTATACCCTTATGTCTTTTTAGCCATTAGATTTAAAACAGAAATAGACGGTTTAAATGCTAGTTAGTACTTAGTACGATGCTAATCCCCTTTGGAGTTAGCAACCTATCTTCTCCCTTTTTCGTGGGACACATTAATTTGCTGAGTGATTCACTAAACTTGGCGGGTGATGATAATTGGCGCATTGAAGAGTTTCCTTGTTCTCGGGAGCAAACACTTTGTCAGCCCCACAGTTCAATTCCGATGGATTTCTTACTCAAATGGAGGAAGAAGGATTGAAGATGTAAGGTCTCAAATCAAACATACCAACAAACTCGCAACCGATTGTTCAATTTGCTAGTCTAACCATTTTAAGAGGGTTGCGGACCGAAAGACCATAGTGTCCATTCTTTTAACTCCTCCATAGCAGGGAGAATATCGGTACGGTATCGGTATTCCAATATCAAATACCGAAATTCGGAACATAGAATTACAGCTTAAATTCAATTTCAATCCGGTATCCCAATACTTAAATATTTTGATATCCCAATCGGTATTTTGGTATCCTGATCGGTATTATCAAATTCAAAATTAATTACATTTGTATGTAATAACTAAATATATAAATTAGATTTGATTGTTTAATTTAAGAAAAATAGACTAAGCAAAGAGTATTGAATTCCTAGAGCTAGGACATGGATAAGGAGAAGGGATGAAAGTTGACATTTCAAGTTCTTATTATTGGTAATCTTTAATTCGACGAATTGAAGGCTGAGAGATGACTAATATTTGTCTTTTGCTTTTTGATGTTATGAAAATAACAAAAGATTAGGTGAGAGACGACATTGACTTAAAGTGAAAAGCCAAAATTGAGTTGGATGGGGTCTTGTTAGCTGTGAAAGAGTGAGGAATGACCAAAGGTTGTGTGTTATATTTCATTAATTTTCAATTTTCCTTATTTCTCGGTATTTTGGTATATATCGAATCAAATCATGTAATCCTAAAAACCGAACAACACCTTTGTTCGTTATTTCAATTTTCGTTATTTCATTAATACAAGAAGTCAAATGTACATTCATTGTGTTCAAACACCAGTTTTTCCTCGCTGGAAAACACCAACAATTTAAACATTTCGTACAATCACCTAAACGGAATTTAGTAGTATAACTACTATTTGTAATACAATGTACAAATTATTAGGGTGGTCCATTTGCTTAATAATGTCAAAGTCCAACCTCGGTTAATGCACACACCCAAACCTCAAAAGCCCCTATCTAAAAAATTGACAAAAAGAAGGGTGGAGACCTCTGGATTTGGTGATCCATATGTGACCATCATTAGTCAATACACAATTCATTCTCTTTTGCATTTCCATTTTCACCTTTTTACTTAACAATGATAATCTTCCCACTTCTCTTTTCCAAAATCCACTTTTCAAAAAGTCGTTTCATGGGTCATGCACTAACGAGGAGATCTCATCTAACTATGCATGATCACTAAATAAATAAAAGAAACTATAGCACGGAATGTACACACATGATGATGATGATAGGTGTATCAAAATTTTCAAAAGTGTGTAGTGGAATACATGCTCCCCATTTTCTTATGTAGCACCATACATTTGACCCTATGCTTTCTACTAATGATCAAATGATTGAATTCTCAAAAAATACACCCTGAAATTTCGATTTTAACCTCACACCACAACATAACATAACCTTTTGATGACCTCGATTGTCAACAGACCCGATAACGCGCATTTTATTACGAGAATATAACAAAACTGACTTCAAACTGCGAGTACTATTATAGCAAACACGACACACCTAGTGGGTCTCGGTTGAATTTAAAGCTCGTGTAATGTCCTTAATGGTGTTTGAGATGGCGTAGAGCAGAAGGACCATCAACTGTAGATGCTTGCAGGAGGCAGTGGAGAAGGTAGATTGAAGTCAGAAGGGCTACAACCTCCCTTATATTTGAAATTACATGTAAAATTCAAAACAAATTTAAGAACTAGAGTAGTAGGTGATGGCTTAGCCTCCCCGCTCCCAATTATCACGATTCAAATCAGCTTCACTCATTTAGATATCTGACTCCATCACTGGCTAGAGGTAGGGCGCTCGACTTGAGAAAAGCTCCTTCGAGACTCGACTCGTTTATTAACGAGCCGAGCATGAGCTAAGCCTTGTTCAGCTCGTGAAGCTCGTGAGCTAGCTCGACTCAGTGGCTTGTTGAGCTAAACTCGTGAGCTAGCTCGTTTAGAGCTCATGAGATGTCTCACATGCATTGTAGCTATCGAGCCAACTTGATTACCGACTTATGGGCGCATCGACCTATATCTTTGAGTTTAATTCATATGATTGTTAAATTATATATCTCACCCAATATGAAGTTTAACACACTGATCAGTATGTGAGCAAATATTTATTATTTTTTATTTAAAAAAGAGATTGTATATCACATATTGCTCCCATACTGTTAAATAACATTATTTGGTCTATTTAAAATTTATTAACTACATAATATGATACCAACAAAGTAAAATATGAGATTAGTTAATATTGAGCATTTGACTATTATTAATTTTTTCATCATGACATCAATCACATGTATCATACATGGCATTCAAAATGAAATATCAAATACGACTCAATATTTTACTAAACAAACCTAGCTCGAGCTCGACTCGACTCAACTCGTTAATAAATGGCTCGAGCTCAGCTCAACCTGGAGTAAAACTCGGCTCGACTCGCCTCATTTGGAGCCCTAAATAGAGGGGAACTCTATATCGATAAAAAAACTGACATGGAATCAGCTACAAACTCATACATATCAAAAGATAGACGATTCTTAATCGTATAGTTAAAACGGCAATCCAGATCCAGGAAGAATCAATTGCAGACTTATTAATAATCGAGAACAACTTCCTTTCGTAATACGTCCCCATGGTTTACTCACCCCATATATAGAGGTAGCTATATATATACATGGAGTCACGTTCTTTCATAGCTTTACTCATTCATTATTTATTATTTCGTTATTGATGTGTGTGTGGGTTTTTGTCCTGTAACGTAACACTTGCTGGTGCATGTGAAATGTTGGCGAGACTTTGATCGCTCGATCGAGACAGAGACTGATGGGAAGAGGCCCGGCCGGCGTGGCTCATAGTATTGCATGTCGACAAAGCTAGCTGACGGAAAGGGGCAGGGGCACGAGACTTAACAAAGCTTTCATTTTGGAGGAATTTGGCCATCGTTTTCAAATGGGAGATGCGTTTGGTTATATATGAACGACAACAAAATGCAGGCAGCAAATGAGCTTAGCTACTAGCTAGGGTTTTGTTTTCCGATTTTTGTTATCTCATGGACCATAAGTTTATGTGGCATGGAGACACCCTAATGTGAGCATCATCATGATTCATGAACTCGCGATCGGGTTCGTGATGAGTTCAATCAATCGTTTAAGTTGTTAGGGATGCCACGTACAAATCGATTTTTTCTCCATGTTGTAGAAGATAGGTTGTTATAGGTAGTGGTTAATGCATGGTAAGTACGAACTATGCACTCAATCAATCGAGGAGTTCTGCACAACTTCTCCAATTTGGCTGCTGCACGTGCTGATACGACTGGGCGCGTATGCATATACATACACATGCAAGCTGATGTACGTTGTCTGATTGCCAGCTTTCATAAGCATTTTTCAACGATTTTAGACCAACGCGAGTACATCAAGTGTTATTTATAAAAAGACCATTGGCGATATCAATCTAATAACTGGAAATTGCAACCTGACGATATCAGCTCCTATTACCCCACAAACTTTTTTTCAAGATAGGTGGCTAGTGGTTGATGGTACGAACTACAAGCTCTCCAATCTCCATTTTAGGCTAGTGGTTGATGACACGAACTACAAACTTCCCTAAACACTTTCTATCTCCCATCTCACATCCATTTTAGTGTAATTGTTAGTTATAGTTTCCATCTACTCAACTATAGTGAAGTGATGTAACAAAACTGTTCAAAGACCAAACATAATGTGACAATAGTTATCCTCTCTAACTCTAACACATGATCTCCACCGATTCTATCTATCTCCCATTCCCATGTGCCTGTTTCTAGTCAAATACAATGAATGGCCTCTGGGCCTGCCTGACTGAGTGACCTACCTGAACTTTTGTCTGTTCAATTCCAACAACATATAATAAATTGCCGATGTATGCCTTTAGCTCAATTATTTGGTTAATTACATACATGTCAATCTTAATCACCATGATTAATGCTTCAATTATGCTCTGCAACTATGTTCCACAGCTCTTAAACTACTGTACTTTTGTTTTTTTGCTTTACCTTAGAGCTTAAAAAATGAAATCAATTGTTATTATTAATCTAACTCCTGACGCGTTTTGGTCACTTTGTTGTTGCTATTGATCTTCTTTTTTCTTCTTCTTTACCATCATCATCCCATGAAAAGGTACCCGACAATCATAATTTCATCAATGGTGTTTTCTTTTATGATAATTGTATTGACGACATTGCCATGACAAACAGTTTTAAGAGTTTCATCAGTCTCTGGCTCTAGCTCCATTGAAGACAATTGTGATCCTCCACGGTACATTTGTGCCGGGCCGATCAATGGGTGTGCCGGGAGGCACTCCGGCAAATGGCAAAGGACTCTATCGTAGATTTTTTAGTTAATCCAGTCCTATATTACATGATGAACATGTATGATTAATTGATTATGGTTATAATGATGTTTTTAAATATGTTAGTTAATACTATGTGCGAGTCATTGGTTAATTGATTATGGTCATAATATGACTTCTTTAAATTTACCGTGTTATCAAGATTCGATGCTTTACATTAGGACTAATGTATGATACTTATATGACTTTGGAACTAGATAAAAACTTAGAGGGAAGCTAGTTGAAATGTGGAGAGTAATAGTAGTGTAATATTAGAAGCATATTTACACAAACAACGACAACAAGGATGAAAACAATTAGGGTTCACATGAAAGACTATTCTCCACTCTCACCGTCCATATCATCATTGTCCCACCTCTAAAACACCTACAAACACCACTACTTCCATTGTCCCCAATTTTCCTTGTCCTTCATCATTGTTATTTACTATATGTCACTAGGTGCCAAAAGATTTCACCCTATCAACATAGAATTATAAGAAACTTGGATCAAATTTGGATGTGGATTTTAATTTGATTCATTTAAATTGAATTCATTGAAATAGATGCTCTGGTTTGACTTGATTGGATTGAAGGTATGTAGTTTGCGAATTCCACTTACACTACTGTTGATTATATTTTCGTAATAGTATGAGCGAGCTCCGTGATATATAATTAAGAGACACGAAGAAGATTTTTTTATCGCACTTGTAGAGCATTATTCCAAGCGAAATCAACATATTTTGTTTAATGCAGCGATCTACATCGTCTAGTGTATAAGACCACTCTTACTTCTTAAACTGATCCATCTAAAAGTTATGATTTACTATCTTAAATTTGAACCACACCACAAGGTATAAGGATATTATGCTCCTTGATTGAGTTAACCAACCAACACTAATGCCCTAACTAACAAAGTTCGAAACAATAATTTTACTCACCTTCCATGCAAAAGCCAAAACTTAATTTTCACTCCTACATTTTCTTCCCCCTGTCAAAATAACTACCACAACAGAGAAAAGTAACCAAACTAACTAACACAAAATTACAAAACTGAAGGAAACCAATAAATGAACAAATTCACTTTCTTCTTTCCCTCTCTCTATCTATCCCCCACGCGCAAACCACATCACTCGCTCTGCTCTCCTTCCTCACAGTGCTGGACAGTTCAGAGTTGAGAGTACTACTAGTCCTCCAAATTCGCCATTTGGGTTACTGAATCCCATCTCAAATGTACCCAAAAGCAGCCATCTTTTAAAAGCTCTGGGTGTGCTTTCCTTTTTTCCTCCAATGGCTTCCGGGTGAATGGATCTTCCCCTTTCTTCTCGACCGAAAGCAAAAAGGAAATGTAATGAAATTTGTTTGTTTGCTTGTACCATTATTCCTTGCTTCCATTCTTGGGTCGATGCATCTTCTTTCTTACGCACCATTTTCCCATATTCCATTGATTTTCTCCACAGATTCGCTTGCTCTCTACTTGGTCAGCTCAAGTCGCTAGCCACTTCCACTCATCACTCGGATCCGCTTCTCTTTCTCTGGTAATTTCCCATTTCCTGCTTGTCCTTTTGGGTGTTGGGTAGTTGCTTGATTGGGCGTTTGGGAGCTGCTTAGAGCAAATGGGTTTGATTATTAATGGTGCTTGCTCTCGAATAGGAAGTTCATTTATTTCAGTTTACAATCTAGTGTGGCCAAACTGGGAATGGGAGGAAGGTGGGGGAAGATTTACACCTTACTTTCTTGATTAGCTTTCACCACTTCCCTGCTTCAGCTGTAGTTCTTGCAGTTAGATTGAGATTTGTGCTTTTACTTTAGGTGAAAGCTTCAGTTTTGTCCTTTATTGTCTTTCCAACTTCGGTTGAGTGCAAATCAAGCCTTGAAAATGGCTGATGTGTTATGTAAGTTTGATCAAGTGGGAGTTAATTAGTTATTTGGTGAGATGAAAATGGTCAATCAGTTTGATTTTCCACTATTTCTTTGAATTAAGTATAGCCACTGGTGTAGTGAGTTCGAGTTGCCTGAACATTTTGCTTGCTTGAGAATGAGGGAGTTTTGCGAATGGACGGTGCAGATTTATCTCCCTTTGGAAAAATGAGGATGGTGGAGCTTTTGTGTACACTACTAGTTGTTCTACTATCACTCTTGATAAATGGGGAAGCTGAGGTTTACATGGTAATGATGGAGGATGAGCCAGTCATAAGCTATAGAGGAGGCATTCCTGGGTTTGAGGCAACTGCTGTGGAATCCGATGAAAAAATCGACACGACTAGGTACTATGCCACCTTGGTACAAGTTCATTGAAGAATTGATGATGATTGTTGTGGTGATTATTCTGATTTCCATTTCTGTGAATCGGACCTTGTTTTTTTGCAGTGAGGTGGTTGCATCATATGCGAAGCACCTCGAGGAGAAGCATGATATGCTTCTCGATATGCTGTTTGATAGTGAAACATATCAGAAACTTTATAGCTATCGACATCTTATCAATGGCTTCTCGGTTCATATGCCACCAGAACAGGTGATTATAACTTCATGTTGTTATTTCCTTTCTTCTTGTTTAGTTTTCTTCCCTTTCCCTTACCCTACCACAATTCATTAGTAGGTAGAAACCTTAAGGCGTGCCCCTGGCGTGATATCGGTGGAGAGAGATTGGAAAGTTCATAGACTCACAACACACACCCCACAGTTTTTGGGCCTTCCTACTGGAGTTTGGCCAACCGGGGGTGGCTTTGACAGAGCTGGGGAAGACATTGTGATTGGCTTTGTGGACTCCGGCATTTATCCTCATCACCCGAGCTTTTCAACTCACCATGCTGATCCATATAGACCACTTCCAAAGTACAAGGGGAAATGTGAGATTGATCCACATACCAAGAGTAAATTCTGCAATGGAAAGATTATTGGAGCTCAGCATTTCGCTGAAGCTGCCAAAGCTGCTGGTGTCTTCAATCCTGCAATCGATTTCGCATCTCCCCTGGATGGTGATGGACATGGAAGGTTTGAATCCTAAATCCATGCACAGATTAGCACTACTTCAATGCATATTATTATGGGGTCATTTGGTAGCTCTGTATTCTGGTTTCTCAGAGTACATTGTTGTTTTTGTGCTTGAGTAACAGTCACATAGCAGCCATTGCAGCTGGAAACAATGGCATTCCCGTGAGAATGCACGGTCATGAGTTTGGAAAAGCAAGTGGGATGGCTCCTCGTGCTAGGTAAGGATAATTCTAATTTCAAGAATGATCTCATTTGTCTGTTATGCCCTTTTATCGGACGGAACTAAGTAAGCCCATTTTGCACACTTAGAATTGCGGTGTACAAAGCTCTATACCGGCTCTTTGGAGGGTTCATTGCTGATGTAGTGGCTGCAATTGATCAGGTTCGAATTTCTGCAACCACAAGTTCCATCGTTTTACCAACAATTTAGTGATTCATTTTGCTCTAACAGCAAAGTTTTCTTGATAACAGGCTGTCTATGATGGAGTGGATATACTTAGCCTTTCCTTAGGTCCGAACAGTCCACCAGCAACAACCAAGACAACGTATCTAAACCCCTTCGATGCTACCCTTTTGGCAGCTGTTAAAGCTGGTGTATTTGTTGCTCAAGCGGCAGGAAATGGAGGTCCATTTCCTAAAACGATGGTCTCTTATAGCCCTTGGATAACATCCGTAGCAGCTGCCATTGATGACAGGAGATACAAGAACCACCTCACTCTTGGAAATGGAAAAATCTTGCCTGGAATGGGTTTGTCACGTAAGTACCACAAACGAATCAGGTTCCTATGAAATTATTGCTGTTGATTTGCACATTTTCTCACCAACTTACACTGTGCTTGTCAACAGCCTCCACGCGTCTGAACCAGACATATCCCTTAGTTTTTGCCAACGATGTCTTGCTAGACTCTTCAGTTTTGAAGTACAATCCTTCTGATTGCCAGAGACCCGAGTTGCTGAACAAGAAGTTGGTTGAAGGGAAAATCCTCCTTTGTGGCTATTCCTTCAGCTTCGTTTCTGGCACCGCATCAATAAAAAAGGTCTCCGAGACTGCCAAGAAACTCGGAGCAGCTGGATTTGTTCTTGCTGTGGAAAACAGTACTCCAGGAGCGAAGTATGATCCTGTTCCAGTTTGTACACCTGGGATTGTCATCACTGATGCAACCAAATCGGCGGTAAAATCTTCATAAAACAAATCATTTCCTAGTATATTCAGTTTGTTACTTATCTTGTCTCTTACTGTCACTGTTGCTCCAGGATCTAATTGACTACTACAACATATCTACACCCAGAGATTGGACTGGCAGAGTGAAGAGCTTCAATGCTATTGGAAGCATTGGAGATGGGTTGATGGCTATACTTCACAAATCAGCTCCTCAGGTTGCATTGTTCTCTGCTCGAGGACCAAACATCAAAGATTTCAGCTTTGGAGATGCTGATCTTCTGAAGCCAGACATTTTAGCTCCCGGGTCTCTCATTTGGGCTGCATGGTCGCCTAATGGAACAGACGAAGCAAATTTTATGGGTAGGTTGAATGTGACTTCATTTTACTATGAAAGGTGGTATTTTTGTACGAGGGTTGCTCCTGATTCTGGAAAGTGTCTGACAATGTTCTGGTTTTGTTTACCGGATCATGGTATCACTGTGGTCGGTAAATGTTAGGATAAAAGGGGTTTTGTCTAAGTGGTTGAACTTTGGGTAGCTTTCAATACTTCCCACACTATTATACGATTTTTCTTCCATACCAAACCCTGCATTACACTCATTCTGCTAGTCTCACCTTCAGGATACACAAATTCTTGGAATTCATGCATTCTACAACTTCTTATATCAACGAAGCCTGTGAAGTTGGAATATCTTTCTACATACCTACTCCTTGTTTGTTGTTGTGAGCAGGAGAAGGATTTGCAATGATGTCTGGAACTAGCATGGCTGCACCCCACATAGCTGGAATAGCTGCTCTCATAAAGCAGAAACACCGCAAGTGGAGCCCTGCCGCGATTAAGTCAGCCCTAATGACGACATCCACAGAACTGGACAGAGCAGGAAGGCCTCTTCAAGCACAGCAGTACTCGGAAACAGAAGCCATGAAGCTTGTTCGTGCCACCCCTTTCGACTATGGAAGTGGTCATGTCAATCCGAGGGCTGCTCTCGATCCTGGACTCGTCTTTGATGCAGGTTCCTCTGATCTAACTTTACACCTCTTCTGCATATAAATAAACCTTCCATGGCTATTGAACTCAAAACTAACGAGCTACTTACACTTCCGGGGATTCTTTTTTCTGTTTTCCATAGGGTACACGGATTACTTGGGGTTCTTGTGCACCACTCCTGGCATCAACGTCCACGAGATACGAAACTTCACGAACATGCGCTGCAACTACACCATGGGCCACCCATCCAACCTCAACTCGCCATCTATCACAGTGTCCCGCCTGGTGAAGACCTTCACCGTGACTCGCACAGTGACGAATGTAGCTGATGAGGAAGAGACCTACGTGATCACTGCGAGAATGGAGCCAGCGATTGCAATTGAGGTCAAGCCCTCAGCCATGACTCTGAGGCGTGGTGCTTCGAGGAAGTTTACCGTGAGCTTAACCGTTCGATCGGTGACTGGAGGGTACAGTTTTGGGAAGGTGACGATGAAGGGCAGCCGCGGCCATAGAGTGAGAATCCCAGTTGTAGCAATGGGATACTGGCGATAGAATAAAGGGAAATGCGAGTTTGGTTGGTTGGTTGGCTGATGAGTTACGAATCAGAATTCAGTGTTCTTAATAATGGTCTGGGTTGGTTGGTTGGAGGTTGAGATGATATAATTCTTTTGTATGTTGTACCATTTGGTAAAAATAAAGAACAAGAGGGAGTTAGTTAGGAAGATGTTTATATATCAAGTACCATACTATCATTTATTCTGCTATTATTACTAGTAGTTCTGTTGAGGGAGCTAGATGTAAACAGAACATAAAGGTGGTACCTTTAAGTTTTGATAATTTGGTGCCTAATTTCTATATTTTACACTTTTGTGGCATGAAAGTAGAATTGAAGTAATTAGATTAACAGTGAACTTTACACTTGCGTATCGAAAATTTTAACTTATTGGACACTAGGGGGCAGGGGCTTGTCATTTGTTATTTTCTTACATGCATGATACATATCTTAACAAGAAAACAATTTACCTATAGGTAAATAAAACTAAAGATAAGGAAAAAATCAAGTGAACCACCACGGATTGGTTGCACAAGTTTGGACTTAGAATTTAGGAGGTTTTGCTAGTTGTCACTTATGTGCTAATCTCGTAATGGCCATCGACAGAATTCGTGTTCCGGTCTTAACAACTCTTGTGATAAACTTGCCAGATAACCATAAGAATTTTTTGAGTGTAACGAATTTTCCCTATAAATAAATAATATATATTTGTGTCCATTAATGATCACTTTAATTATATTATTGGTATCTCCATCACTATAATAATGAGGTGCCGGTTATAACTAGCTACCAATTCTTGACTCCTACCAATTCTAGGTCAAGAATTCATTCTCCTAGTGACCAAAACAAAATCATCCACCTTTTTTTCTTTTTTTGCCAATATTTAAAGTGTTAGGATGTAGGAGTCAACTATGATGACTAATGATTTAGATATGGGCATTTTTTTATGGACAATATCTCATTTTCAGTGTATGTATCATCATGACAGTTGATTTAGCTACGATGCCAAATTAATTAACAAGTCAATGTATTTAATTAATTAATTTGATGGGTATCTCTTACAAGTGGCAGTTTATATTTAAGATCAATGAAATTGGTCTTGAAGATCGTCTCCAAACAAAATCAATAACTTTACTAGCAGGATATACTCATAAATGGTCGGTATATGACATTACCTAGTGCTACATACTTCAAGATTGAATTAATCAAGCCATGCTTAATATTCGGTGTAAGATAATAATAAAAAAAAATCGATGCCCAAAGTCGTAACTTGGACATATACTTCCGTTAACAAAAATGTTATCTCCCAAGTACGAGATTTTTTCAGAAATAGCACCTTTAAAAAAAATACAAAAATAGCACCCATCTGAAAATATTTACAAAAATATCACCCTTTTTTATGGACCGCACCTCTAAGGTGCGGTTTATTATCCTGGGCCAAAACCGTATCTTGGCCATGCGGTTTTAGGTCCGGCCTACATAAATCGCACGGCCGAGGTGCGGTTTTAGCCTGACCTAGCAAAACCGCACCTTGGAGATGCGGTTTGCTTCTCCAAAACAAAACCGCATCCCCAAGGTGCGGTTTGTGTGTCAATTATTTTCCGACACCCGACATATAGCCATGCAGAATAACAGACGTGGGCCTGCATAGCAGATGAAAACCACATCTCTAAGGTGCGGTTTTCATCATGATTTTGCCTATAAAAGACTGCACGGAAAACCTCTTCTCTTCATCAGTGATTTTGCCTATAAAAGACTCCACTGGGCAAGGACGAACGAGGCACAGGGAAAGGTCCATGCCTTTAAAGTCACCGAAGTAATGGAGAATGACAATTGCAAGAGCAGTCAACATAGTGTAACCGTTATGAATCGGGCAAATGGCGAGTATAGCGTGACGACCGGAAATCGGGAGGATAGTAGACGGGGGGCCACCGCCATGAAGTTTTGGTCAATTTCAGGACAAAAGTTGGTGAGTGCTCATGCCAGAAGTATCAGGGGAAAGGGTGGCCTTGTTCTCATGCAATGGCCGTAATTAAAAACAGGAGCAAAGACCCCCGTCAATTCGTTAGTCCATTCTTCAATATCGACTCACTCAAAAACACCTATGGGCGGAGTTTCCGTGCATTGCCTGATGAAGCTTATTGGCCGCTGTACGAAGGAAAATTGATCATCCCGCCGTTCGGACAGAGACGTGAACCGGGTCGCCCGAGGAAAAAGAGAATTCAGAACGAAATGGATCAAAGTGGAAGACCACCACGAGGCCCAAGACGATGTTCAATATGCAAAGTTCCAGGACATGATAAAAAAGGTGTCCAGGACCGATTGGTCCGCAAACACCGGGTCCTGATGTGGCGGACTCAGCTAATGCGAATTGTTGATTGATGATTTCTTTGGCAAGTAATTGTGAATTGTGAATTGTTGAGATGACTTCTTTGGCAAGTAATTGTCAATTGTTGATTGATCGAATTTGGATAATATCAAGTTAACATGAAAAAAATGGACAAAGCCAATTACATAGAAATAAAAATAAAATAAAACAACACTCAATTAAATAAACTAAGATAAGAGGAATAGTTCCAAGTACATATAATTAAAATTCAACTCACATCTCAAGGAAGTCCACGTGCTTCATCGGAACTGAATGTTTTCTTGCTCCTTGTACGACGGCCGACGGGAGTAACAATAGGTGGTTCTGGTGGCAAGTTTCGAATGGCCGAGGTAGTGTGGCGCTCGTCGATGCTGTGTCGGCGGAGAGGCGGCGCTTCCGGGGTCGAGCGGGGGACATCTGCGCTCATACGGTGAGGAGTAGGAGGCCACGACTGATGAGGGCGAGTCCATGGGGTGATTTCGTGGGGCGCCATCGTGGATGAACCATCATGCCAAGTACCTCATGATGTAGGGGGATCTTGGGGGTAGACCGGGCGAGAGTCGTAGTATTGTTGGCGAGGAGATGGGGGTAGACCGGTCGGGAATCGTATGATGGTTGGGAGGATATGATAATCGCTTAAAATCCCATTTCCTTAGACGTGCATCTCTTTATAAAGAGTCAAAGTAAGTGGCACTATGTATTCGATTAAATTATTGAGAAAAACCAACACAATTAAAAATTCAACATAAATTTATTTTATATTCCACTAAATACATTAGCAAAATAAAAGAAAGACAAATGATGAAGAATTGTATGTATCGGGTGATCGTTCCAAACATCCCTTGACCAATGGTTGGGTTGGTCGTACAAGTCGGTTGGATCCAACGGTCCTTGCTCGAGATAATACCGTTGGTTGTATATATCCACGTCGTCCCCAACCTACGTGAAAATAACAACGAGGTTAGTACATAGATTAATTAAAAAGTTTATAACAACAACAAAAATTAAACCAGAACAATGAGTACGTACCGCTAGAAATTCATCAACATAAACTCCCTCTCCTTGCCACCACTCGCTCATTTTTTCGGGAAATTCGGACAGAGATTCGGCTCGGCGGGTCTTGAGGAAAAAATCAAAATTCGGACAGAGATTCGGCTTGGCGGGTTTTGAGTAAAAAACCAAAGAAATGTTTCTGATGGCAGATCGGACTTAGCCGCAACCAACAAACCACTATTTCCTAGGCTTTTGGGAGGGGAGGGTTTAGAGAGATAAATTCTAGAGAGAGAAGAAAGAATGGGTTGTGGTGTGAAGAAATGAGAGGGGAAGGGGGGGTATTTATAGTTCTCAGACCGCACCCTTCAGGGGCGGTCTGGTAATTTTACCCCTAGCGAAACCGCTCCCTTACGATGTGGTCTGCTTTCCCGAGGCGCTGACCGCATCCTGCAAGTGCGGTCTGAGGCTCCACTACGCGGATTGCTGAGGTGGTGTGCGGTCTGCCCTTGGATCGCAGCCCCATCCGACGGTCTCCAACCCTGCTGCCCAGAAAACACAAACTGCACTCGGATGATGCGGTGCGTTTGCTGACGTGGATTGGACCGCTCCTCTAAGGTGCGGTTTATAGTTAAAACGCATCGTCCTGGTGCGGTTTATTTATAAAACGCACCTTGGAGGTGCGGTTTGATTTAAAAGGTGCTATTTTTGTAAATATTTTCGACTGGGTGCTAGTTTTGTAATTTTTTTTAAAAAGATGCTATTATTGGAAAAATCCCCCAAGAAACTATTGTATGTTTGCATAACTTAGTAATGGGGAATGTAACAATAATGCATTATGTTAGGTACGGTGCATGTGTCGTATCAACCGTAGAGCAAAGAGTTGGTACCAATATTGGATAAAAGTCCAATTCCCACGCAAAAGATCGTAGCCCTCCAATGCTCAAGTTAGTACGTGAAGTCATTCAAATAATGTGGAAATGAGAGGACAAGAGAGGGAGGCACACATCTCCATATGTTGAGAGTACATGTGAGACATATTGTACATGAAGGTTGAAGGATGTACACACGGATTGTATTCTTTTCATGTTCTCGTGTCTCTCTCTCTCGTACGTTTGTTTTGACAAGAACTTATGATCCAAATACACCTTTATACTAATTAGTCTGGCTTTTGTTATCATAAACATGTTCTCAAAGTACTGCCGTATGTTTGCATAATTTAGTAACCCAATAATGCACTATATTATTGTATAAAAGTCCAATTCGCGCTGAAAAAGTTGTAGCTCTTCGATACTCAAGTTAGTACGTGAAGTCATTCAAACGTCGTGAAAATGAGAGAACGAATAGAGAAGGGGGTAACATCTCCATCTCCTCATAGTACACGTTGAGACATTTGTACTATGAAGGTTGAAAGGACATACACTTCTGTGGACTGTGGTTGAACATGGTTTGGCCAAATGTAGTTGAACTCTTCTCTTCCGCCAATTAAGTATGATTAGTGTAAGTTGTATTTCATTCGTTACACGACAAGTGAGCGGTGGTCAATAAATAAACTAACAATTTGCAATCATGTGCATGCATGACCTACACATGGTAACCAAAGGATGCCACATGGATACCTCTAGTAACATTATTCCTATTGTTTTTTTTAACCATAAAAAAAAATTTATCGGGATTTCAAATACCAAATAATATTTGAAATCTACTAAACCTGGGGAGCACCTGTACAAGACACAACATCGGGAGATTTCGTCCCCGACACTCAGGCATGCCTCGGGGAACACACAAACGGCGCCGCTGGGGATCGAACTCAGGACCTCTCACATCCTGAGCCAACTAGACCAACGGTTTCACCGCTAGGCTCATTATATATCAATTTTTGGAACTTATTTTTACACGGTATTTATCAAATACTAAAATTCCTAATTAATCATCTAATTGTCAAAGCGCGGGCTAAATCACTAGCCATCAATAAGCTCCTTTTCCACGGCGGGGAAGAGTCATAATTAACAACCATGGTGGACTGAAAGTAATTAATGACCCAACTGAAGCTTCCCATTTAAGGCTTCCCTGCAGCTGCATAGGCTCAAAAGACGAGGCCAAATCTCAGTCATAGATAGTCGTCATCGTCTTTGATTCCCTGAGAGGGAAGAAAGAGAATCAATCAAGCAAAAAAAATGGAGAAAAACCCAAGTCTCCAAGCACCATTAATTTTCTCCTCCTCCCCTGAATCGACCTCGAGGCAGAGTAGGTTCAGCAGGGATGAGATTCTGAGAGAAGTGAAGCAGCAGCTATGGCTGGCAGGCCCTTTGGTCACCGTCAATTTCTTGACGTATCTCTTGCAGGTGATTTCAGTCATGTTCGTCGGCCACCTCGGCGAGTTGCCCCTCGCCGGCGCTTCCATGGCCACTTCCTTCGCCTCCGTCACCGCCTTATCTCTCTTGGTAATTAAGTCAAGACCCTCGCCGGCGCTTCCAATTCGGACCACCACCAGTTAATGTGATTCTCCTTCTTTGTTTCGTTGTTCGGACTTTGCAGAAAGGAATGGCGAGCGCATTGGAGACGCTCTGCGGACAATCGTACGGAGCGAAGCAGTACCATCTGCTCGGAATTCATTTGCAGCGAGCAATGATTGTACTTCTCCTGGCTGCAATTCCCCTGTCTTTCATCTCCGGGTACGCCGAACCGATCCTACTCTGCCTCGGCCAGGATCCGGAGATCTCGGCTGAGGCAGGGAAGTACGCGCGGTTCGTGATCCCGAGCATATTCGGGTTCGCGATCCTCGAGTCGCACGTCAGGTTCCTGCAGTCGCAGAACAATGTGATCCCGCTGATGGTGACGACCGGAAGCACCACTCTGCTTCATGTTTTGGTGTGTTGGGCTCTGGTTTTCAAGTCCGGGCTCGGAAACAGGGGAGCCGCTCTGGCGAATGGCATTTCTTACTGGATCAATGCTTTGTCGTTGTTCGTCTATGTTAGGGTTTCTCCTTCTTGCAAGCAGACTTGGACCGGTTGGTCTAGAGAGGCCTTCCATGGGATTCCAGGGTTCATTAGACTAGCCATTCCTTCTGCCATTATGCTCAGGTTGGTCTTAAAATTGAAACCCCTTCTCTCTCTGTAGTTTTTTATATGATATATATCGTGTCACGAATGCGTCTATTGTTCATATATGTATGTGTGTAGCTTGGAGATTTGGTCGTTTGAGATGATGGTTCTGTTGGGTGGCTTGCTTCCGAATCCAAAGCTCGAAACTTCTGTACTATCCATAAGGTTAGATTTTAACAAAATTCTGCATAAAGGTTGCAACTTTTTCCAAAAGTTGAGCTGAAAGGGGTTTGGATTGGATTTTGCAGCCTGAATACATGTGCAATGATCTTCATGATACCAATGGGGTTCAGTGCTGCTGTGAGGTGAGATTTTGTTGTCAACGATATATGATTAATTGGCCGCTGATCATCCAAGCTGTGTGCATTACTGAATTGTTTTGGGCTGTTTCTGTTTTCTACAGCACGAGAGTTTCGAATGAGCTAGGAGCTGGGAGGCCAAGAACTGCGATCCTAGCGGTATATGTTGCGTTGGCAATGGTGATGACAGAAGGGATTCTAGTCGGGATCGTCCTGGTGTCTGGCAGGAGCATCTGGGGTCACTTGTACAGCACGGAAGAGAGAGTAGTGAAGTACGTTGCGGAAATGTTGTTGCTGATTGCAGCTTTCCATTTGTTTGATGCCATCCAAGTCGTGCTCTCAGGTAATGGTCGTGCGATCGCGATAGCATCAATCGATTTTCACCTATCGAAAGTAAAGGTTTGCTTACTCGATCTTGTTTTTTCTTTTTTCTTGATGTTCAAGGCATTTGCAGGGGATGTGGAAGGCAGAAGCTAGGGGCTATTGTCAATTTAGGTGCATACTATATGATTGGAATTCCTTGCTCGGTTGTTCTAGCTTTCGTTTACCATATGGGAGGAAAGGTACATTATACTACATCACGATACCGGTCGAAAAGTAATCGATACCGTAGTTTTCCTAGCTAGAAAATTAGGAAAGCTTTAGCCATTGATAATATGGTTTTGTTGACAGGGTCTGTGGACAGGAATCATGGTAGCATTGATCTTCCAGGCATTGTTTCTCTCAATAATGACCATCACAACTAGCTGGGAGAAAGAGGTTAGTATTTTTAAACTTCCATTATCGAATTTCATTTCATCATCTTCATATCTGCTTCTTATGAGACTGTCCTGCATTCGTGGCTGTTAATCAGGCAAAGAAAGCCAAAGACAGAGTTTATGGTGCCATCGTTCAAGAGCCAAGTCATGAGTTGCCGTAGAAGATCAGGCTGGTCGAAGAAGAAGACAATAGATCTGAGGAAGGAAAATTCTCCTTGGCTCGCCGGCTGTGTTTCTATGTCCGATTCCGAGGATTAGTGGGTTAAGACCGGCGCCGGCGGGTGCATCTTCGTCTGCCGGAGAAAACAGAGCACTCTGTTTATTAAGAGAAGAAATGGTTAATGGTATCCCCCACTTATTTGTATTTTTGTGGGCCTGTTATAGTAAAAGCCCAAAACAAAATAAGCCCAAAAGGGTTGCTTATAAGTTATAAATAGTAATTTTGTCAGATGCCCCCGAACGCACAAATAGTAATTGCCTAATGCTAATTATGGTTAGAGACTACAGTATCTTCAGAAAGACTATTTACGGCGTAGAAAATTTTCAATTAAAATGGACCTGATTTCAAATTTTTATGTTGTAGCTTTTATCGAGATGTAGGAGACATTTTTCGTATATGACTCAAAACGAGTCGTTATACTTTAAAAAGACACGTTTAATCTTGTTGCTATATGTTACTTTTGAAAAGAAGGATAAAGAATTGGTAACCGATATATGTTACGTTAAAACTTAAACTGAATTTTCATGTTTATTATTGTCATTGTGGCAACATTATGCTTATTAGTATGTATTGTCTTTGTTTTGTGTACATATCATAAACATGACAAACAAATAGAAAAGGATAATATGGTAATTTTGAAAACGAAGACCCCTTATTATCATGGTGCTAATACTAAGCGAAGTGTCATATGCTTTTCATATTTTTTTAAAAATTATAAGAGCAACATGTGTGTGGACCACAAGTATTATGAAGCAAATCATAAGATTCATACCAGAAAAAATGATAAACCCTTACCTCAAAACACACAAAGCAGACCAGGAAGTTTACAGAACAAATCTAAAGCTCACCACACCACGGAGCTCATAAAACATATAACGAAAAACTCAAATTAAATTTCGTGAGTTTTGATTGAGATGGCTTCGTTATGTGGTTCTATGTATTGTTCACCACGTCTCGAATCTCAATATCAGAACACGGCTTCCATATGTTATTGAACGATTCTAATTATGTTAGCATCGTCCTAATAGTTGAATTAGCGTTAGCATCCTATATACTGCGTCACAAATGCAATGATCTTCACAATATCACTAGGGCTTAGTGCTTCTGTGAGGTGGGATTTTGACCCATAATATATACGATTAATTAGCCACTGAACCACTGATCAATATGTACTACTGCTTAATTATGAGTCCTTTTCTTTTGGGTTATTTCTATTATCATAAAACAAGGAAAAGATAGGATTTTTATTTCCTCTAGATTCTACTTATTAGCTATCACTGAAAGTATACAAATCAGAAATCACCCTAATTATTGTATACCCACATAATCCATCCAATTGCTCCACGCCAATAACACCTATAGCTGCCAAAACCTATAACTAAAGGCACTGAAACGAGCACCGGAAAAGCTTCATGTACTCAATTGAAAACATATTATGTTCTGCCCCAGACACAAAAAGGACAAGCAGCTCTGTCTCTATAATCTATGGAGGAGTTTCTCGGCTGGCTGCCGCTTACTGAATCTAATCTCAAAGCCAGTAGTCCAAGCGTTCCCCTTCACTGCCGCCGTCTGGCATTCCGGCCATGTCGAACCAATGAAATGGATTTACCACCACATCATAATTTCAAAAGCAGCACAAACTCCCGACTATCATCTAATCCAAATGTGGGAGGGACACAGTAAGGCTGTTGCCTTGGTTCACTCACTAGGCCTTTTGCTTCCCTTTCCTCAGTTTCTCTAGCTCTGCCTCTGCATCTTCCAATTTCTTCTTAAGACTGGATACCCTTTCTTCCATATCTTCCACTGTTAAATTTCCAGCTGAAGGTTGATGCGGTGTCAGGAACCGGCTTGAAAAGTTCTTCAGAGCTTCGACTCCAGTGACCTAATAAAATCCAGGAAACAACAGCAATAAGAACGTATCACAGCAAGTGAACAGAGTTCAAGTTTTATATATCAAACATATGATTACGCTTGTTGAATACCTCCTCTGGTAACAATGGCAGCTTGGTGATGTGGAAGTCATCATATAACATGTAGAACTGATCAAGATACTTCTGCTGCATCCGCATTCTTGCTTTTAGCAATTTGGATTCAACATCTGTAGGATATTAAAAAAAACCCGAGAACGTTAAGGACTAAGCTTGTTGCTTCGAAGAGAATGACACTAATAAGCAATGGAATGTAAATGCAAAGTCAGGCGCACCATCTTCATTGTAAAGCACTTGGTTGATGATAATGTTATGCGTGTCGATTTCAAACTTGGTAAGTTCCTGGACCAATCTCTCTGTTTCATAAAGAGATAGGAACTCTGGAATGCAGACACACACGAATGTGGTCATGTCCTGCCAATAAAAAGTAGATAATTGAATCAACAAAAAGAAATGGCTTAATCTGTTGGTAAAATTTCAGATGTCAGATAGAATGCTGAAATTTGGGTGATAAAGAAAGAGTCAACAAGCAGCAGAATCCTGATCACTAATCAGCCCACATTAACAGGTTCATCAAGGAAATAATAAGTAGTTATGTTCTACTATATCCAAATTAACGACTCACACGAAACACGATTAAGAAGATAACTGGTAAGCTCTGTCTGTGTCTGCAACAAACTTAGGCATTAGGGAACCAGATACTTCATCAATTGCTATGTCCTTCCATGTGCAAGCCCCTCATAGTAACATCAGCAACAATTCACCTAACCGATCGTGCCTTAAATACATTCTTTTTCTACAAAATGGATACCTTTCCCTACACAAATACTTAATTGGCCAAGTAAGATTTTACGTTGCCACAATGCTCCAGGGTTAACCTTGGCGTGTGAAGTGCTGCTATTTTGAATGAAAAAAACAGTGATGCTTTACCGTTGACAGGTCAGTATCCTATTCTGAAACTAAGTTTCCTCTTCTAGCTCATTTCACTCAAGACTAGTTGCCATGCACGCCCATAAGGAGAAACAGTTCTTGACAGATATCCTAGAAGGGGGTCAATAGATGCAAATGAAACAGGGTAAAGATTCATGATTTTATCAGGACCCTGCCTGTCTTGAAGTGCCTGGCATTGCCTCCTTTCAATCAAATGGTATTCCTAAGAGCATTTGTAAGTTCCACATAACATCAAGGTGCAACTACACAATAGAGGAATTCCAATCTCCGACTCCACCAACTTCTGTCATGAAAGAGACACTTGGCAATCAACCAACTAGAGTGTGAAAAGTGAAGTCTTACTGGGTCTTTGAACTGCCTGTTCACTTGTTCAATTACATCTTTCATGCCCTCGAGTCGCCCCAAAATTGCGTCTTCCCCGAAGTCACCATCAATACCAAACATACGAGTCACCTGCCAAACATTTAATTTCATGAATTACTACGTAAGAATAATGAAATACAAACAGAAAGAACAGCTGCAGTAGCAAAATAGCATATATATATGGTGGCTACTTCGGCACACTCACTTTTTTATATATATGGTAGCAAAAAAAAAATATATATATATATTTAATCTTCCAAGAAGTAACAGACATGAACATTAATGAGAACAGATTACAGTTCCATGAAGCAGTGCAATGTAAGGTTGGGTCTGAGCATTTGCCAGAAAGGAAAGTGCAACTAAAAACTGAAAGATAGAAAGAGAGGACATAAAGGAAGAACACCGAATAACACTCCATGAGGTAAAACTTTCACAGCAAAAAGAGGATCACAACCTAGAATTACACAACTCAGGTTTAAATTGGAAGAAGAAAACACCAACACTGGTAGAAGAACAGAAGATAGCACAAAATAAAACAGCTCAAGAAGGGCAAAATCATCCTGAACTGATAAAAGAACAGTTAGAAAAAGCCTAAGGATCAAACATCAACAATCATATTGCTATCAGAAATAAATATGCCAACACCTGAAGGCTATAGTATGCAAGAAGCAGCAACACCTATTGAACCATAAAATGAAGTGTATGAATCAAACTAATTCACCCACTGCATGCTTAGATAACATACTCGATGTTATAAGTGAGATAGAACTAGACTCTGCAGTGCGAGTTTAATATGGTTCCAAAAGCATCAAGTATTCTCTAACATTCAGATATCTACCACTCTTATTATTGATCAGATATTATAAAACCCACGGCCATCAAGATGTTATGTCACATCAAAGATATACCTGAGTCAACAATCCACCAAATCGATGTTTTAAGGACATCATTTTCTGAAGACCTTTCTCCAACGTCGAGGGAAATTGTAGTAGCCGGAGAGTGTGACCAGTTGGGGCGGTATCAAACACAATAACACTATAATCCATTGTTTGAACCAACCTACAGAAAATCAATTAGAGGGAATGCATTATAATTAGGTAGGAAACAGTGCTCCACATGCCAAGATGCCGCATCAAATTTTATTCACAAGCAGAAGAAGAGCATGCACACTCCAGTAAAATCATATGGTTAATCAATTGAAGGTTGGCTGATGTGCATCAATATGAGTTCTTACAGTAGGTGGCATGTACAGCTTATGACCTATTTTCTAATAAATTACCATATTGAATCCACAAATCATTCAAGGAAATATACACAAATTAGCTCAGAATGATATTGCTGACAACTAGTGTGAAACATCACTATCAAAGTAAAATTGACACAATAACTTAGCTCTCTGAAAAACCCATTAAAATGTCAAGACTCTTTTCTGATGAAAGATCAATAACCATTCAAAAGCTACAAAGCCTTCAGCTTTTTCTAATTTCCAGTAGCAAACTTACTTCAACATTTCCGCAAAGCTCATGGCTTCATCAATACCAGGGATTGCGTTGGCTAGTTCAGAGAACAAAGTATCCATCTCCTCGTTGCCACCCACCTCTTCATTCTCAACAGTGGGATCCACCTCCTGTTATGAACCCATACCAAAAAATAAGAACAATTAGACACTGAAATTTTTGTGATAAATGACTTCGAAAATACCAGTAAAATCCACATTAATTATATCGAAATCAGAGCGTTGGGCTCTCATCATTTCCCTCTCACATCAACGCATTCATCAGAATCATTCTCTCTATCAAAATTCAAATCGAACGAATTCGGGATCCATACTGCACCAATTCTGCCACCCGGACACCATGCAGAGCCAAAAGAAGGGGAAACAAAGGGGAAGTACCATAGCGTAGAGATTGGTGAAGCCATTGACCAAAGACGGCGACTTGGTGAAGCGCTGTTGGAAAGCATCGCTGAGATTGTGAGCCGGATCAGTGGATATGATCAAAACCGACGATCTGACGCTGGCCAGAAGAATAGAGAGGATGGAGCTGCAAGTGGTCTTCCCGACTCCGCCTTTCCCTCCGACGAAAACCCACTTGAGAGTTTCTTGATCCAGTATATTCCGCACTGTCCCTTCCGGTATTTCTCCATTATCTGCCATATCCCCTTCTTCCTCTTCTGCCGCGAAAAGAATATGGCTCCGATTTCAAGCTTCAGAACACGGAACTCGCATGCATACAAACCCGAACTATACC